TAATATCACTTTAAAGAAATCTGTTTAGTTTTTAAATTTCGGAGGATCCAGGTCAGTGATATAGTGGTCACCGCAAAAAGTCTTTTTTGAGAGGAGCTCCCTGATATCAGCTGTAGTTTCTTTCCAAAGAAATATATTTAATAATACTAAGTCGTAAAATGCAGTTAAAATGAATATTTGGATCAATAAATTTAAAAGTTCTCTCATTTCTCAGAAAAGATCTGGAAATTTCGCTTTTTTCGGTTTGCTAACTGTATATAACCCCTTAATAGAATAAAGTTACAGTTTTTCACAAAATAATATTGCGAAGACATTGCAAAACAATTTCCAAAATTACCACAAACGGTCAAAAATTTCATTGCAGTCAGAACAGAAGGTTCACATTCTACATATATTTTTCGAAATTTTAATAAAAAGTAACAAATGTTGTATGTAAACTACATCTGTATTCTGTATTGTAAATATGTTTTCTTTAAAATATGTTTTAAATTTTTCAAGCTTTAATATTTGTGTATCAATTAATAGACCTAACTTAGAAAAATTACTCATTACAAACTTAGGATACCTTACCTGAGAGATCTTCTATAAGTTTATCAAGAATAAGAAAAATTAATATAAGAACCATTATAATTACAACGCCTAGGGTTGATAATTTTATGGTTAAAAAAAATAATTCTTTTGAAGCTAATGAAGTGGTAATGGAGAATGGAGCTATGCGTAGAAATTCAAGCAAGTGTGGAAAGTTCTCTGAGCGCTATTCAGTTGGGAGTGGTCAGATACGATTCTTCTACATATGGCTCAAGTAGCTCACGACTTCCGGTCTTAGACCAAGTATCCTCTGGATAGGCAAAAAAAACCGTTAAAGTAAGAAGTCGAAACATCTCTACCCAGTGGTGTACGCCGGGTTTGAGATCCGCCGCGTAAAAACAAATACCGAGTACAACCGAGTAAGCGGTGTCTACGATATTAAAGAAGAAGACTTCTTCCTCCGACGAAACCACTTCATATTCGGCATTAAAACTAACATTATTTTCCAGTAACGACATTTAAATGTGAAAAATAATTTTTTCCTATATCTCTGCGTAAATGCCTTTTGTAATAACTGCAAACAATTATTATATGATTAAAATAGTTAAAAATAAACAAATCAAATAATTATCGAACCGCTAACACAACCTAAAACATGTAAAGTATATCATTCACGACAGTTCTTGCTAACACCAATTGTTCCTCAAACTTGCACCAAACAATCGCACAGCGCACTAAGAACTTTAAATGCTTAAAATGTTTTGTTTTCAACATTATAACGGATGATTGACGTAGGATTTTAATATTAAAAACACATTCAGATTTGCAATATTAACTTTGATACTGTTTGAGTTTGTAATAAGTAGATGTTAAGAAATAATTTGTTTTTTGTTTTATTAAAATGGGATAAAATGCCAACAAACTCGACGAAAGTATAACTTTTGTTTTCGTAAATTTAAGAATAAAATACCGAGCAACTCGCATTAAACGTGGGATATACATATATATAAGAGATAAATACTTTATAATAATTCGTTTGTGTTTCTTTGTATTTTTTTTTTTTTTTTAACTTTAAGGTCGCTACATACATTTTTGTATTTCTTATGTTTACATTTCAAAAAAGCAGTCAACATCTCTTGCGGTCGTTTACAACTTAGTGTGTTTTTACATTTCATGTATATATGTATGTACTTGTATATTAGAACTATGAAATCCTTGCTGCCTTATGTATGTGTGTGTATATACAAACACTCTTAGGTTATAATAAATATTTTAATTTTAAATTTTTGGTTTTTACATATGTGCGAGTAATAATGCTTGTTCTTACCTAGAATCATATGTAGTCAGCTAGTAGTTTGATTTCTCTTTTGTTAATACTTATAATTACATATAGACGTATGTGGGGCACACAACTCTCCCACTTATATGCTCTTTTGTATAGTTCCTTGTAAGTAATTTTAGGTTTGTACAAGTAAACCGATAACAGTAAATAACAATCAATAGTTTTTTTTTCTTCAATAATTGATATGTATGTGTTTCTAGTACATATGTGACTATATGGGGCAGACAATGGAGGGGCATTCGCTATCAGTTAAAATATTTTAATAATTTGTTTTTTCTATATTTCACTAGTTTAGTTTTATGTATATAATATTATGAAGCTATGGCCGTCCAAATAATTTTATAGTCTTTAGTTTGGGTGAACTGCAGGTATACTATGGATATGTGTGGTATATATTTTTATATAACTAGATTTATATATTTTACTAAACTCAAATATATATTATTCAACAAATCAATAAAGTAAATAAAAAAATGTCTAAAGAGCAAAGTGTCAACTTTACCTCAAAACCTAGGGAAACAGCCTACACATTTTCCAATTGTTATGCGAAGTTTGTCTCATCTAACCTACTCTAAAGCAGTGTGATTCTTTAACAGCATCCTAACTGTATTTCTAGAAAATTACCTGAAATATATAGGATGCTATTTCGTATAACGCATACTACTTGGAGGGTATGATCACACAGTATGATCTCGACTATTGAATTGTTGGCGTATGAGGTCTATTTCCTTAAATTCAGAAATAGTTAGAAAAGCTTTTCTCAGCCACAGCCTACTTTATCAAGCCTCAAACACAGTTCTACAACCATTCACATCTATTCTTATGAGAAATCTTATTTTTCAAAGAAAACAATCATTAAAAGTCATGTTTTGGGAAGGTGAATACATTTTAACATTTATGAACGGATGCGTCTTATCATTATTAATATTATAATTTCTAATATATTTATTTGTGTGTATATTTTTATACATATATATACTATATATTTCTTCTCACAACTTACATTAAAATGATATGTATGCGTTTCCAATTTGTAGGTAATTTTCAAGTACTTTTCAAACTAACTTCTTACAACATATTACTCCAACTCAAATTTTCAGCTTCAGCTAATGCATTCGTTTAATATTTATATTTCTTAAGTGTATTCCAGCTAACACATGCTAATCAACATTAACACTCAGATGTTAATGATTTAATATTTTTTTGAAATATTCCTAATGATTTCTTAATTTTTCTAAATTTTTAACAGCAAACCAACGTTTGCTACCTAGAAGCGTTTCTCATGCATATTTATATAACTATATTTGTATGTATGTATGTAGAAGAGCGTTTCAAATTATGGAAGGTCACATGACAGAGTTTTGCATCTCACTTGCAGGGCAACAATAGCGAACATACACACTACAAGTATAATAATATATATTTTTCCACACTTTTGCTGATATGTATACAGTTACAAATAATGTATTGCTTAACAATTTGCATCTGGCGCTCAAAAATTGCTTTTTCACGCATCTTCTTTGTCTTGAAAAATTAAAAATGTAAATTGTGCACATACTTGTAAATTGAGAATACTCAGAACGTTGCGAAATAACGGTTTATCTTGGTTTAGTTTAATCAAACTGAATGAGTCAGAAATTTTCTTCAATTTGCTTTATTTTAAAGTAACCTTCGTATTTTTCCTGTTTTCAATATAACAATTATTAATTTGACTTTATCGAATAATATGAGCTTATATTGCTCTTAATTTTAATTTATTTATAGATTTAGTAAAATTATGAAAACTTGTGAAAATAAATAATTAATCGAATAAAAAGGTCGAAATAATAGCATAAGTCGTTTTGTACCTAAAGATTCGATGTCCAATATGAGAATCCTTTAAAGCGGACTACAATTAAAGAAAATTTATCCAATGACATATTTTGGTTTTTTAAATAAAAAAAAATTTATTAAAAATAAAATTTTACAATTTTTGACTTCGATTTTGGGATTCAATTTATTTATATAATAATATTGATTGACGAATAGGTTTTTCAACTTTTTTCTTAACTCGGAAAAAGTAGTTACTTAAGAATTAACCTTATAAGATATATCCAACGCGCCGGATGTTAAGTTTTAAAAAAACTCTAAACTAAAAAAAAAATTTACTGTAATAATCTATTGTCTGGCTTAAAAAAAAAAAAAAACTTTAACATATTAACGTTAATTAAGTTAATTTTTTTTTTTGAGATTTGATTGAAAATTATCTTTTTCGGGTTATATACAGTTAGAGTTTTCTAAAAATCTTTTTTTTATGTTTTATTTTCTTCATGCGCATATATTTAAGAATACCCACGGAAAATTTCGGATCGTTCGGGTGAAGATTATTACATGCAAATTTAAAAAGGCATTTCAGCGTGCTTGGAAGTACAAGGCCAAACTTTAAAAGCGTTTTTTTCAAAATTTTGTTTTCAAAGCCGGTGACCAGCATTACTCGAAATCGACTAAACCGATTAGCCTCAAATTTTAACACAAGCTTCTTAAATATATTTTATAGTAATTAATTCATTTTTTCCGAAAATAATTTTTTATAAACAATTTAAGGTCAAATTTTTGGCGACCATCGGCTTTGTTTGAGAAACCGACATTTTGTCAAAAATTTATTTTGCTTATTCCTTCAGTTAATTACTGAATTTAACATCACTTTAACGAAATCTGTGTAGACCATCCAGTTCAGAGACATAGTGGTCGCCGCAAAACGTCTTTTTTGAAAGGAGCTTTCGGAGATCAGCTGTAGTTTCTTTCCAAATAAATATTTTTACTGTTACTATAAGTCTTAAAATACAGCTAAAGGTTAACATAATATCTGTACAAATTTTTGGATCAATAAATTTAAAGTTTTCTCCGAAAAAATTCTTAAATCTTCTTTTTTCGGTCTTCTAACTGTATATAAGGAGAAAAAATAAATATTCTGAATTAAAAAATTATATAAACTATGTGTGTATATATATTTGTTAAAATAAACAGTTAATTTATAGTATTAAATTATTTTTAAAAATAAAAATTAAAAATCAATAATTAATTTAATTTAAAGATATTAATTTAACTTAATTTAAAATATAAATTTATAGACACATTTATTCACGGCACCTGAGCACTTTATATATTCTTAAGATTTAACAGTTTTGGTTACTAAAATGCAAATTTTAACAATTAATCACGCAGATAAACTAACATTACATATATGTACATATGTACTTAGTGTGTGGTAATCAATATTTAAGCCAACAACAAGAAATGTCACTACTGCGTTTTCTGTGCAAAGTTCCTTCTTATGAACTGCTAGAGATTAGAATCCGTTGTAAGCAAGCACATAATACATACATAGAACAAACAAACCTATATAGATAATTATAGATACTTTTTAAGACCATACTACCTAATACTAATTTCAAATAGAATGTTTAACATTGCGTTCTTTGAAAGATTTTACAATACGCATTATTTTTCAAGTACTTATTAGCCGAAAAACACATTGAACAAAAAACAAAAAGCACAAGCTGTTAACACTGGCAACACTACACAAAAATAGTTTATAACAGCAGATAATATATAGAATGTATATAATTATATGTATATTGTTTTTGTATAATTAGTTTAGTTTTCTTCTTCTTCCTTCCGCATTTTGCTGCGTTGATATGTTTGTTTCATAAGCTTAGTTACAAATTGCCTTCTAATTCCGTTATCCAACTGCTTGACAAGCATTCCTCTAAGTCGATACCAAATATATTTGCATTTAAAGTTATGTTTGTATGTGTGTGTGTGTTTCATGAGCACTTTTGCTTCAATTCTGCATGTTAATTTTGTGTTTTTTTTAAATATATGCACGTTATGTATGTGTATGTGTGTTTATGTGTGTATTTGAACATGTGCTTAGAAGGCAGTATTATCATGCTCAGCAGTTGGCACAGCCATACCTTGTCCGCTTAAATTGAGACCCATGCCCGCATCACAGCCGACTCCGACTACGCCGCCGCAGTCACTGGCGTTGTTGCCACCTTTACCCGTCGCCTTGCTCAACATTTTCTGCACCTGCGCCTGCGCCGTCTGCTGATTCATGCGTTTCGCTTCGGCCACGGGTAAATCGTCGTCGGACTCGAGCGCCGGATTAATACGTCCGTTGCGCTCATCTTTGCCAGCCATTGTGGCTGCGCCATAGGAACGTGCCAATGGACCAGCCATAACAGAAAGCTGCAAAGAGAATAAAGTGAGACAAAATAATGTACAGAAATTAAAAGTTTCGTAATTGCTTCTAAAGGTCAGGAACGCATAATTTATTATTAATAAAAAAGAGTCGATTCGGCACCATTTGCAGCAATTCGGCAAGATGTATGGAACGATTTGGTGCATCTTACATCGAGATCTTAATTTGAAAGCGTACAGAATACAGCTTTTGGAAGATTTTAAGCCGCTTGACCTTCCCAAGCAACATCGCTTCGCTCTATGGACTCTTGAAAAGTTCCAAGAAGATCCAAAGTTTTCGAGCATAATTTTGTTCTGGCTCAATGGGTATGTAAACAAGCAAAATATCCGCATTTAGGACGAAGATCAACCTGATGAAATCCCCGAACTGCGTTTTCATCGAGAAAAAATTAACGGTTTGGTGTGATATGTGAGTCGGTGGAATCATCGGTCCATATTTCTTTAAAACTGATGCCGATGAGAATATAACCATCAATGGCAACCGTTATCGCGCTTACTATTTGATGCCTGAAATTGAAGCTCGTGATCTCGGCGACATTTGGTTTCAACAAGATGGATTTATTGAGAGAACATAAAGTTTGTGCGGAGAATCCCGCCAGTTACCAGTCGAAATGCTCGAACGAATCATCGAAAATAGAACTCAACGGATGAACCATCTGAGACGTAGCCGCGTTGTATTATTATTTTTATAAATTATTTTTATATAACCGCACATTGGAACTAAAGAGAATTTTGGTTTTGAAGTTTCTGCTTTTTTCGTTTGACTTTTTAAAAAGGTACAGCTTTGAACCAATTCAAGGCGATATAAATCTTTAAATCTGCTTAAACTTTTCAAAATATTGACAAAATTTACCTGCTCTCCAGCTTCTGAAGGCTCTCCCACTCTTTGTACATCTTCAGGAATATTCACTACACAACGAAAATAGTCGTAATTCGGGGGAAGTTTACCCGATTCAAACATCATTCTGTAAATTAAGAGCAAATAACAATTTAACTCAATTTTTCTTTGATCAACATAACGCTTGATACATACTTTGTCCACCAAGAAACACCTATCAGCGTGATCAGACTCATTAACATGGCCGTGGTGCGGAAGGGGAATAACTGGGTTTGTGTCTCCTCGTCATAGCCGGGAAAATGTATGAGAGGCGCCAGACCAAGCAATGCCTCACCACCTGATAAACGAATAAAGAGCGCCACAATATAGGCAGCTAAGCTGCCGTAAGTATTACAATGCTTTTTAAAGTGTACGACCATCAAAAGTTGTGGGAACAAAATGACATACACCAAATCCGAGCACATGGACCTGCAATTCGAGTAAAATATAAATGAAGTGTTTAATCTGGTTTTATCTAATGTCGAATTTACCAAAGACCATAGATGGAGGGAATCGTAAGCGCCATTATAGTTGACAGGATACCCACGATTATAATGGCCACACGCATCACCCAAATAATCTCCATCTCGGAAGCTTTTTGGCGAAAAATTAATTTGTAAACATTGCGCGCAAACATCGACGCAGCCGAGAGCACCGACGAATCCGCCGAGGACATGACAGCTGCCGAAACGGCGCCAAGACCAAAGAATGATACAAACTCGGGTGTAAGGTATTGTAGTACCATAGGTAATATCATGCTGGTCTGCTCGACGGTTAGTGGATAGGGGCCGGTATATTCGGTTTCATTCCAAGCTTAAAAATAAATCGATAGATAGTTTGTATGTTATTAAAATTATTTAATTAAATTCAATAAATTTGAATTTACCTGTTGCTTTGGCAATGGCGCCAATGAGTACCGGCGGGATCGCCATAAGAATGCAACCAGCTGCCGCAACATACGACAACAATTGAGCGCGTCCAGCTGTCTTGCTTGACAACACGCGCTGAAAATACACCTGCCACGGGATGCCACCGAAGATCAAAAGCAGTCCATAGTCTATGTAGAACCATTGCTTCACCGGCTCTACATGACCGATCCAATCAACCTCCATTGAAGACAAACTTTTTACATGATCATTGGCCCAAGCGAACGGTATACACATCCACAAACCGATGAAGATGCAAAATAGTTGTATAACATCGGTATAAGCGACCGAATATAAGCCGCCGAAAAGCGTATAGAATATGGCAATACACGAGGAGAGTATCACCGAAGTGCGATGGTCCATGTCAATGATTACAGACAGCGTAGCGCCTATGAGAATTACACCGAACAATTAGAAAGCATTAGATTATTGATGCATAAAGCAGAATATAAACACACCCAAGGCGGCTAAAATGCCAGCAGCCCAGAATACCTCGCCACAGAGCGCCGGTAGAAAGAGCAAACCACCCATGCGTTCACCAAAAGAGTCCTGCAGCGGATCCAACATGGTTATGTAACCTTGTTTACGCATGGGATTTGCAAAGAAAATGCCACCTAAAATTAGACATTACAAGAGCAATGAGAAAAATCATAAACTTACACTCGAGGTGCTTTGGCATTTGCACGGGGTCACACTTACCGAAAACCAAGCTTAAGGCATAACCAAATGGCGCCTGACACCACACCAGACCGGATGTGTAGATGGCCTCCGCCGTGCCGTTTATGTAGCCACCACCCACCCAAGTTGCTGCGCAGCAAAAAAAAAAAAAAAACAAAAAATGAAGAAAGCGAGTGTATTATTTCAATGTCATTGCGGTATTTAGAATTTCTGGGTGATTAGACGTCACCGCAGCAATTGACCTCCAACACACACGCTTACTCACCGGTCATTGTGAATATGCCTACGAAAAGACCAATTGAGCGTCCCGCCAGCATCACCTCCTCCTCGGAATCATTGCCTGCCGCCTTTTTTCGTCCCGCCCATATGCCCACGACCAGAATTAACAGATAGAAGAGCACGATGCTCACCACACCAGCGATATTAATCATGTTGCGACGTGTATTATCTCCAGATTATTGTTTTAATCAAAAATGTGTTTTAATTTTCGTGTGATTCGAGTGATGACCTTGTCCAAGCTTAGTTTTAGTTTTCTATTATTTAGTTTGCATGGACATATTCGGGCCAAAGGAACACTAGCTAAGTGAGAAGCATGTAAATGGTAAATAGTAATTGTACATTTATTATAATTAAAAGATTTAATATTAATAATTATAAAAAAAATAAAAGTTACAAATATATATATATATATGTATATTTTTATTTTATATAAATAAAATATGCATGAAATGTTACTTGCATTGGCTTTAGTAAAGCAAACGAAGGATCTGCCACAAACTTTATATTGAAATTTACCGTTGCAATAACACAACACATAAAGTTATTGAGTAACGGTATACGCAAGTCAGATTAAACAAATAAATTCATTCACAAATGTTTTGACTGGAACATGGAGCCAAGCACAGCCACACGCACACAGCTGAGTTACGCACAATTACATTTCTCGAAGCATACTTTTAGGCAATGCTATTTGATTGGAAAGTGACAACAGTGAATTGTTGAGTTGGTTGTGAGTGGCAGCAAATTCAGAGAAAGCGCTCTTTCTTTCTTCGGCATTGGAAATAACAACAACAACAAGAAAGGACAAAATTATGTGGTTGGAATAAGGGAAAGAAGTGCTAGCGTATATTGACTTTGATTAATGATTTACATTGCGCCTGTAGATAACAACTGCTTCGACGGAATTTGCGTTGTAATCACAAAATTATGCAATAAATGGAAATTTCCGATGATAAAATAAATAAAATATATTTCAAAACAGTGTACACACCTTACAGAATCAGTTTTAATTTAGATACGGTTTCCAATTGAGTTAGAATATTTTATTTTTGTATTTACTTTTAGTTACTTAAATACTTATGTATTTCTTTTTTATGCTTTAAGCATATATTTAGTTACCAATTTGTATTGAATTTATATAATATTTATTGCAATAATCTGCGAGCACGAATATTTTTGTATTTTTTTTTTTTAATGAAAATCGCAACTATCGCCCCAGCGTAGGGACGTCTTTTGAGACGGACTATTTCTGGTTTTAAAATGTAACCCGCACATGTGCTCGAACAATTGTCGATTCACAAAACGCTCGCATCAAAGACGGTATTTGCTATTTCGTTGGTTAGAAAACAAATACAAGTTATTTTCCGTTATTCCCACAAGTTATGTAACATTCGGTTACAGTTTAAGATCTTAGATGTTGCACGTAAAATATATTCATGCTCAACCGAAGCAATGATCGCAAACGAAAACCGTTGGTGGCATACACAATCCAAACGCACTACTACTACTGTGTGAGCACACGGTAGAGCGCCTTAAAATATATAACTTTCTTTTCAGCGTCCACCTTGACTGGACACACTAATTGACGGGCGTGTAGGTGTGCGCGAAGAGAAAACTGCTCCTGAACGTATACTTCGGATGACTTTGAATTACGTTGAAAGCAAGTCTTTTCCGGTAGATACTTTTTACAATTCGTGCGACGCTTTTTTTTATTAATAAAATTATTATTTTTTTATTTTTAATAAATAGAGTTATTGTAATTATTATATTTTTGCTGCAGTCATCACAAACCGGCGCCTAAGTCGGTGCTAACGTTTCGGTGGCAATTCGGTAACTGATTGCCAAAGCCTGGAAGACTTCCTGTGAAGGTATTTAATCGTGCCGTGCCATTTTAGTGTGTATTTGTGACAGAGTGCGCGATTCATTTCGGGAAGTAGTCTGGAAATTTGAGCGGTTGGAAAACTAGGGGCAGCACATTGATGTAGGAGTCTTAATGGAAGCGCAAAATGGTTTCGAATTCAAGGAGGGGTAATGTGGTGAAAATTGTACACATATACATACATGTGTATGTATGTATGTATATATATATAAATGCACATATATAGTTATTATATTATAGTGAATACAAAGTAAAGTGTATTTGAAATGTTAAATATTACATATAATACTTTTATACATATACACATATTGTATAGACTTTTGTCTTAGCTTAGTTTTACTAGAACATTTTGATATAAAATATCTATGTTTTTGGTGTAGTTGTTATATTCTGTATACTTTATTTAATATTTATTTTATATGCACTATATTTTCATTAATTTCTTATATTTCAGATTTGCAATTAAAACACATTTAAACAAAAAAAATTTCAATTAAGTGTTTTTTAAGTATATAACAAAAAAACAATAAAAAAAATAATCTAACTGGCATCATTGTTTACGTCAAATTTTCTTCCGCATGAACAGCTGTTTTCTTTTGGCATCTAAACGTTTAAGTTTCTAATTGTACATTTATTATGTTTACTACATTTTGCGCTCATCAAGAAAAGTTACAATAGTAGTAAATCATTGCAATCATACTATTGTAATTTAAGTCCAGCAAATCCTTGGGCTTAAATCATACAGCAAAGACTATATCACGGTACAAATGATGGACGAATTCAAAGTTCCACTAATGCCACCAAACACAGCCGGCAAAGTGGAAAAACAGCCAGAAACGCAAGCAAGCGATGTTAAAGATGTAGATAATGATAAAGTAAAAGAAATTCCAAAAGCGCCTATTGTCAATACACCAAACCAAGTTTGCCCTTACAAAGTGCCACCATGGTCTGAACCGCCACCCGAAACTACCAACTATAAATTTGAAGTTCTAAAATCGGGTCAAATAATAAGTGAAATCGATAATTTACAAAAGCAAGCAGTTTGGAAGTTTGGACGATTACCACCACCGGCAAACGATCTAGAATTGGCACATCCCACGATTTCACGTTTTCATGCAATTCTTCAGTATCGCCCCAAAAAGCAACGTTCACCATCTGATTCAGAGCAAAACGCAGACACTACTAGTGCAGATCCACCAGAGGGTTGGTATATATACGATCTAAAGAGTACGCATGGCACATTCTTAAATAAACAACGTATACCACCTCAGGTTTTTATACGCATGCGTGTTGGTCATATGTTACGTTTGGGTGCCAGCACAAGATCTTATATTTTACAAGGACCAGAGGAAGATGCGGAACCAGAGTCAGATTTAACTGTAACGCAGCTACGTGAGCAACAAAAGCAAAAACAAGCTGCTGCAGAAGCTGATGCGATTGGGAAAAAGGCAGAGGCAGCAGAGCAGGAACGTAATGAGGGAATCAATTGGGGTATGGGGGAAGATGCAGATGAGGAAACTGACTTATCACATAATCCATTTGCAAGCACAAACAATGAAGAATTATTTCTCGATGATCCTAAGAAAACTCTCCGGGGCTATTTCGAACGTGAAGGGCTGCAATTGGAATATAAGTGCGATGAAATGTCTGTCGGATCGTTTGTTTGTCGCGTAGAATTACCACTGGATGATGCATATGGCCGCCCTATCATAGCTGAGGTTGTGCATAAAGGTCGCAAAAAGGAGTGTGTTGTGCAATGTGCTTTGGAAGCTTGCCGAATTCTAGATCGACACGGTGTTCTGCGTCAATCAAATCAAGGTAAAACTGTTAAATAAATCTATCATGATAACATAAACTATTAGCACCATTATCTTTTCTTCATTCAGAACCTTTGAAAAGAAAAGTGAAATCTACAGAAGATTCTGACGAAGACGATTTTCTTGACAGAACGGGTGATATTGAACGAAAAAAGTTGCGAAAATCAAATCCGACAACTAATGTCGCCTTAACATACGAAGATTTGGTAAGAAATAATCGTTTTGTTTGTAACGCAAAGAAGGACTTGTCGAAGACCGACCCTATAAAATAATATAAAGAAGATCAAAATCAAGTCCTTTTGGGGGAAACTTTTTTATTTGAAAATAAAACTTTTAGTTTCGTTGCAATGTTAATGTTTTTCCTGTTTATATTAAGAATTAAACCTAAAAATAAATATGTTTATATATTTTTTTTTAATTTCAGCTAAAGAAGGATTCTGAATTAGTAGTGGAACTACAACGAGTTGCAGATGATATAACGCGTTATCAAGAAACACAACGACGACTTAAGGCTTCTCAGTCGAATAACAGCGAAGATCTCGATCTCTTTATGGAAAACTTAACCGATGACACTTCTAACCTGGATAAGACGGAAATACGGAAATTACGGGTAAATGTTCTACTTAACATTGTCACCGTAAGAAAAATAATAATTTTTATTTGCAGTTGGAACAACAACGGCTTAATGTAGAAAAACAAAAAGTGCAAAGATTAATAAAATTAGCAAAACCAATAGATTTCCACTTAAATAAGCCCAGCGAAACGGCGAGGACTGACACAAGTACAAAGCGACAGCTACCCATGATTGGAAAACGCAATCAGTTTAGTAAGTTTAAGATTGCAAAGATGGTTACAACTAATAAGAGCGAAAAAGTAAATCACACAAATTTGGCTTCCGATGAAGAAGAAGAAGAGGAGGATTATGAATTCAGTTTACCTAAAAATAAAGACGTAGCTAAACCTTCTTCGATAAAAGCAGCTGCCTCTGAAGAAGGAAAGGAAAGTAAGCAAATAGCTGTAGAAACAGCTATTACTGAAGCAACGAAATCAAGAAAACAAACTGTGAAAACAGAAATTACTGAAACAATGCCATCACCAGAATGTATCAAAAAGTTGTACGGCCCCGCAGTCATCCCTATAATCAAAGGCGATAGGCAAGATGATGTGCCAGCTGATATGCCTACGAAGCCAATTGATACAAAGTCACCTTCAGCAGAATGCACTCATTCAGAAGATTCTACAGAAGCAGAAAATAGTAGAAAAAAGCGTAGACAGCGTCAAAGACAACGTCAAAAGCGACAAGAAATTGATATGGAGGAGCTAGAAGAGCACGAATCCAACGAAAAGTATGCCAAGTGGGTGCCGCCACCTAATCAAAGTGGTGATGGCTATACAGAATTGAATGACAAGTATGGATATTAGGTTTTTTTATTTTAACATATTGTATCATGAATTTTTATAAAAAACTGAAATTTTAAATAACAAAGAAACATAATATTAACTGCCCTTGGGTTTTGCCAGTTCAATAATCCGTGGTGATGCTTTGGCTTTAAGCGCGGCGGGAGAAATTGCGAAGGGATTTTCACGTATATGTGTATTTTCGTACTCCTTTGGCTCAGCCAACTCTTTGATGCGTGCGGTAGGGCGTGCCTTCAGCGCATTCGGTGATATAGAGAATGGATTCTCCTTTAGGTCCGATTCACCCACTCCTTTCTCGCGCGCTGTAGCTAACTCCTTGGTGCGTTTTGTGGCTAAAAGTTAGAAAAATAAATTAAATCAAATTTAAAAAAAATTTAAGTATATACATACATACATATGTACATATATGTAAGATGTGAAGGCAAAATTATGGATTTACCTTTGTAAGTTAAAGCAGTAGGGTTAATAGGTACTGGCAAGCTTTGAATCATTGCGGAGTCATCATGCGCTGTTGGTAATGCCATTTTCTTTATATTTTCCGATGGCTCATAAGTCTTCATGGCTGGTGTTAGTACCCAAGGCTCTTTAGCCAGTTCTTCATGCGTCTTGGGTAAAGCAAGTGCCTTGAATCGGGTCATCTTATCGAGTTTCATCCTTTGGACAGGCTATGAAATAAATGCAGGGTTTAGGTTCATTTAATTAATTTTTGTAAATAATTTTTATTTGTTTAAGTTTTTATTTTTTTTTTTAATTTTTATTTTTTTATTTAATAAATATTTATTTTAATATTTTTTAAATTTATTATAATTTTCTTTTTAATTCATTGTTTTTTTATTTATTTCTTTTTTTTTTTCTCTTATTTTTTGTATTTTAATTTATTATTTTTTTATAATCCATTATTATTTTTAAAATTAATTTATTTGTAAGTTGAACTTATAATTACCAATTTTGGTTGCTTTGGTTCTTTTTTGGGTTTCGCCAATTTTTTCAGATATTTTGTGTGCTTTTTCCATTCAGCTTCATCCCATTTATGTATTGGAACTCTGTAAATATGTTAATATACATTTATGTATATACATACGTATATATTTAACGTCTTCTCTTTTTCCATAAAAAAACAAAAATATTTTACTTTTTTTGCGGCGGCTGTATGTTAGTCAGGCGACTATATACAGACAGTAGACTCAAACGAATTAAGCGATTTATGCCCATTATTCGCAGGGGCTCAAACAAGTCCTTAACCGTTTCTTTAAATAAAAGCAGTCTTCTGTTAAAACAAGATAATATGAATATAATCAACAAATTGTTCGATCTGCTCAGATTGTGATTTATTGACTTACCGCACTGCTGGCAAAGCTAATTGTTCTGTGCGTGTTCGTATACGCACATCCCGAACAAACTCTATGGGTTTTTTATATTTACAAGGACATTGGGGTATGAAGCGACCTTTGATGGGCCGATTATGCTGCGCGATTTTGAGTAAACGTTTACGTTTCGTAAACATATGTTTGTGGCGTTCCACCAATCGATGCCAACTCTTGTATATGTCCGGTAGAAAACAACTGATATTTTCTGGAAGATGGTCAAATGTTGGACAACATTTGGAACTCCTTGAAACCTTATGCATTTTTTTCCTTTTTTTAATTTTTTATCTACACAACAAATTTTGTTTCGAACTTTAATATTTATCAAAACAATTTCATATGGTTGTATTTTGAAAAAATTATTCCGAAATTCTAGATTTAGAAAATCCAAAAATAATCAACGAGCAGGTGAAAAACTGACTCAAGTGAAAAGAAAGTCAAATTCTTATACTCAAATCAGAGTTTGCAAATATGCTTTAACGAACGATTGCCTAATGCAGAGATCAAATTCCAAAGTAATATTTGGCGGTTGGACACTGTATTTCAAATCAATCACAACCGATGCAAAATACAATAGCCCACTACCAAGCAGCATCATTTGGAATGAGAACTCACATTTAACCTACTACTACATATTTATTTAATAAAAACATTAACTTAAAATTTAAATAAAACACATACATAATTTGCACTTTCAAGTAAAATAAATCATGCCGATAAGGCCGAACACTAAAGCATGTACGTCTTCGGCTTGGCCAACTCCCTCAGACGCGGTGTAATTCTAGCACGGAGCGCATTTGGAGATACTTTATATGGATTGGGGCGGGTATGCTTGTCAAAGTAATCCTTTGGTGCCGCCAGCTCCACTATCCTTTGTGACGTCTTTGCCTTTAAGGCGTTTGGACTTGTTTTGAACGGCGCTTCTTTGACTTCCGGTTTGTACTGATAAACGGGCGGTGAAGCCAATTCCCTAATGCGTTGCGTAGCTGCAAGAAATGAATGAATGAATTTTTAATAAAGAAATAAATCTCTCAACAGACGTTAAATATTGCTTGTACAAATGTTGCTGAGATTATTTTTTATTTAACTTTATCTCAGTTATATACCTCCGTCGTCCCAATATAACAATAATTATCTAGCGTAATTTATTATATCCTAATAACATCTATAGCATATGTATACTAGCTGCCATAAAAACTGAACGATCAAAATCGTCTGCTTGTATGGAAATTGTTTGTATTTGACGAGATATCTTCTCGAAATTTGGTGTGGATTATTAAGGCGACTGTAAAATCTCCCAATAAATTGTTCATATCGGACAACTATAGCCCATACTTGACATACAAACTCACCAAACAAAAAGAAAATCAAGTTTTTGTATAACATCTTTGTATCTGTAAAGGCTATTATAGCTTCGGTGCAACCGAAATTAACGTTTTTTCCTGTGTTTTTGTAAAAAATTTTTCAAATTTTGTATATGTTTAAATTTTTTTATATACATATGTATGTATGAACTATATTCCTAAATTTTGTAAACGAACCTCTGTAGTTGAGCGCCGTTTCCTTCACACGGTATACCTCCTCTGGATCAAATACTTCGTAAATACGCGGTTTGGATATTTTTAAAATTCTATCGGAAGGCGTGTAGTATTTCATATTGTTGGTTAACACCCATTCTTTGGGTTCATCGCTTTCATATTGTCTTGGTTTCGATAAATTTTTGAAACGGCGCAATGCCGAGCCTGCACCCTTTGGTTTAACCATAAATCCGTACCCCTATGAAAATCCATGCATTTACATATTAAAATAAGTAGTATATTAGTTGAAAATGTCTACCAATAACAAATGCAACTTAAATTAGTACCTTCGGTATCTTTTGTTGCTTCGCTTTTTCTAGCTTTTCCAGCTTTGCTGCCTTTTCCTTCTTCTCTTCCTCTTTGTTAATATCAACTCGTGGTTTGGCAAGCTTCTTCCATCGTTCCTGTCTCAGCGTCTCTTCAGCGTCAGTGAGCTTCTTCGGTTTTTCTCTGCGAAAAAATAAAAGTTCCAATCAAAACAGCACCTACAAACTAAATAAATTATTCTCACCAACTTACTTTTTAGTGGGAGGTTGCTTGTTCGACAAGCGGCTATACAAGGATAACATACTCTTACGTAACATACGATTCACAGTGGATTTACGTTGGTTGCTGAAACTCTTAAAAGAGTCACGTTCTTTCAGTTGCATAAGTCGGCTGTGAGGTGTCATTATGGTTTATAAAATTGTAAAACTGAATGAGCGAAGCAAAAACTTACATCACAGGTGGAAAAGCTAACTGTTCTGTACGCGTACGGGAAGGCATATCATCCCGCACAATCTCCACCTTACGGTTACCAATCTCTGGGCAAAAGCAAGGAGTCAAATATTTGCCCGTTTGACGTCTTGGCTCAGCAAGAGCCCAAATGCGCTTATTTTTGGTTACCATACATTGGTAGCGTTCAAGCAGCTTGGAATATTGTGAGCGTAGCTCCGGAAAGAAACACATGTGCTCCGCGGCCACGGCCAATGGAGTAATACAGCATTGCGGTCTGTATGCTGGCAGTTTTTTCATTAGCATTTCCAATTTAACACGATATCCTGAAAAAACGACCGATTCCGTTCAAACTTTAAGTGTAGTCGATGCACCAGCGAATAGTACAAGCTTGTTTAGCTTTGGCGTTGGTGCTTAACATTAAGCTGATTGTTTACGCAAAACTTATCGGTTATTTTTTTATATTTTTGCTTTCAACCAAAATTTTCTCGTTCAACTATTATATACTGAAATTTTGAAATACAATTCATTATCGCACAATGACAAATTTATCTGCTCGTCCTTGATATCGTAAATAAATGAATCGAATCGAATTTTTAAAGTATTCTATGTTTTAACCCTCTTTCATGTTTTCGTGTTTTTTTGTGAAATAATACACTTTTCTAATTCCTGTATTAACATCATTGATTTTATTCTGTCTCAACATTTCGTAAGATCGTCAGGCCAGGATAGAAGCAACATTTGCGACATATTTGTATGGCATGATTGTACATAATAAAGTTTACTGTGCTAGCGATTTAGTTAAATAAGGTATATTCCGTTACATGCAATTTGGTAGAAATAAAAATGTAAATAATGCATTATAATGACAAAACAAATAAATATAACAATCAAGTTGTTAGCCGATATTATAAATCTATATATGTTTGTCTAGTGAGGTCAAAAATTTAACTAGTATGTGTATATTAGAATAAATGTAAATCGTCGAGTACATAATACAACGGTTATAATTCAAAATGTTTTTAAAGTACATATTCGCCAGATTAATACTTCAAATAAAAATATAAACAGTAGTGGACGCTAAAAATTTTGTTTGAATAATCTCAATATCATCTGACGATGTTTTGAAGACCCCGTTGGACACTTTTGTTGGCTGATCGTCTCTTAATTTTATTATGTCTAGTATTAAGCCAGATAATAATAATCAACTGAATTTGCTTTGTTATTAGATTGGTTTTGTCGCTCACAGCTGTTGCTTTGTTTAATGAATGTTGGCAATGACAGCACGTGTATAGTCTTGTGTTGTCGACTGGCCGCCCAAATCCTTGGTCCGTACCTTGCCGTCTTTCAGCACTTTGTTAACAGCGTTAGTTATCATTTCGCTGTATGTTGGCAAATTGACGTGACGTAACATTTTAGCGCCACAGAGAAGCATGGCAGTTGGGTTGGCAACATTTTTACCCACAGCTTCAGCGAAAGTATGTCTCGCACCCTGTAATAACAAGTTTGTTAAGTAAAGGAGGTAATGTACTATATGACATATGTGCAATTTACCGGCTCAAAGACGACCGTTTCTGCCGAATATGAAGCACCAGCAACGACACCGGCACCCCCAACAAGACCGGAACCGATATTGTCGAGAATGTTACCATAGAGATTGGGTGTAACCATAACGTCAAACTTGAAATTAAAGATAACGGTGATATATTGATATTTTTTTTTTTGTTAACGCATAAATATTGTACTCACCTGGTTTGGTCGTTGAACCATTTGCATAGTTGTGTTGTCAACAATCATTTTCTCAAATTGAATACGTGGGTACAGCTTGGCCATTTGCTCGCACGATTTAAGGAAGAGTCCATCTCCCAACTTCATAATGTTAGCTTTGTGCACAGCAGTAACCTTTTTGCGGTTATTCTTAGTGGCATAGTCGAAGGCGAACTTGGCAATGCGCATAGACTTCTTTGAAGTAATAATTTTCAAGCACTCAACAATACCGGGAACAGATTCATGCTCAAGCGCGGAATATTCACCTTCGGTTTGTTCACGGATAATAACGGTATCAATGCTCTGATGGCGGGTTTTTACATTGGGCAAACTGCGCACGTGCACAACATTGGCGTACAGATCCAACTGTCTACGCAATTTCATATTCAAAGTTTCAAGTTCACCAGCAACGCTGTAATCTGGAGTGGCCAAAATACCCTGCAATGAAATTTAAGTGCTAGTGGTGATTTGTGAGTTTGCATTTTATTTTCTCTCTTACCTTAATACAAACTTTATTCTTTTGAATTGAAGCCACTACATCTTCCAATTTGGCACTCAAAATCGGGTTAACCTCGGATAAGAAGTAGTTTTCAAAGTCCACTGGTGCATTGGTTGCCTTAAAGATATTTATATTTTGAAATATAATGGATACATTCTTTATAATTTTTGATATTTATAATTACCTTGAACACTTCCTGCAATGCATAGACCAATTCCGGACCGACACCATCGCCTGGAATCAATGTGCATGTCACACGGCTACCGCCAAGAGCACCAGAGTCCTGTTAGATGTACAATAAAAACTAACGTACAAAATTTTATATATATAATTTCTTACTTGGTTAACCGCCGAGGTGGTATGAATGGAGCGGACCGCTGTCGCCTAAAAAAATATACAATATGTAAATACCAAAATTCATAATAAAAGTTCGTTAATTTTATTTAAGGCTTGTAACCTCAAAATTTGCACTAAATTCGCGCTACGACGATTCTGTTTATGTAAGAACTGTCAAGTAGTAATAAATCATTTCAGCTGCAAAATACACAAAGATCTACTTACCTGCATCAGCGTGCGACCGAAGGTTCTTGCTAGCAATGCCATATTTATTATTTGGTGTCAACAGTTACAAAAACCCCAGTTAAATATGAAATTCCGCTCCGTTCAAAAATAAAGTTGGAGAACCCAACAATCAGCAAATCGATTTAAGATCTTCCAATGGAAGCATTCCACTATTCGACACCAAAGGAAAACTGTCAAATCGTCAGTCGAACAGATGTTTAAGAAGAAATGTGATTGCCATTTGCTATTATTAATCTAATTATTTGAATACAAAGCTAGAAAATTCTCAGCAAAAATAATGTTCATAATTGTTATTTAATAAAATAAATAACGCTTGCTTATTGAGAAATTTATAAAATTATTGATCAATTTTCCAGAATTTACGCCTATTTGATGGCAATATAATTGTTTCCGTCTGCTAACAACGCTGTTTACTTACATATGTATATAAATCCGTTTAAATTTATTTTCTACATAGGGAAGAATCCCAGCCAAACAACGGCACATAACAGAGAATGTAGATTATAACATAATGTATATATTATTATTTTATATTATATTAAATTATTATATTATAATCTACAATATCTGCAAATTATATGAACGATTTCTTCCTTATCAAACAGAATAACTTATCGCAATATTTATTTTATTAAATCGTAAATTGCATTAAAATCGATAATGCAGTGCGAAGTTGCGATGGTCCTGCGTATATTATTTAGCCATCAGTGTGAATTTCTTAAATTTCTCTCTCTCTCTCTTTATAGATTTTCAGCTGTTATCTTTTTGCAACAAATGACATAACTGACTTTTGATTTAACTTTTTATAACAATAAGAAAAATTAATTAAGATAAATTAAAAAAATATATATATATAATTACTAGTAAATTCATGGTGTAAAAATTGTATTGCAAAATTTGATGTTCTAAATTCATAACTAAAGTTCTAAATCGTACATTCGCATGGCTTTAAGAGTCGGTCTACGTCTGCATAAAAATTGCTCTAAACTTGTAGCCGGTGGCAATTCTCCATTGCAATTCATTCGATTGAAGAGTTCAAGGTGAGCCGCAGACAATTTTTAGAAAGCTGATATGTGTCTAATCTGCGTAGTCTTTTAGACCATATTTTTCGTTCAACAAGAGAGGTGCTTAACTTAGTTTTATTTTTTAATTCTTAGTGGATCTAATATTCCGAAAATGCGTTTCGTACAATTTTTGCGTAAGAATGATAACCGTAGGCGGCTTGGAGTAGTGTCTGAGGATGGAACAAAGCTCGTAGAATTATCCGGTGGAGCTTGCATTTCCAACGATATGGTTTCATTTATCTCTCAAGGAATTTCAATAGAAGAGGTTCAACGCAAGATAAAAGGTCTCCCAAGTGAAGAAATGACCGATGCGCACATTCTTTTACCGCCAGTTGTGAATCCACAAAAGATCATTTGCATTGGATTGAATTATAAAGATCATTGTGAAGAGCAAAACAAACCTGCTCCCAGCGAGCCAATTTTTTTCAGCAAGTTTAACACAGCTTTGACAGGTCCAACTGGAGACGTTATCGCACATAAAATCACTACGGTAAGTCCTCAACAAATAATTTTAAGTATGTTTGTATCTACATATCTGCATATGTATGTATGTGTATGTAACTGATCTCGTGTTGTGATAAGTATGTTAATTATTCTGATAAGTCGTCAACTGATATTGAAATTATTTAAATGAATATTTCTTTTACCAATTAACTAAACTGAACATAAGATAACTATATATATATTAAATAAATTGATTTATAATATTTTAGAAAATTGATTGGGAAGTTGAATTAGCTGTGGTCATTGGAAAGGAAGCCAGAAAGGTGTCAAAGGAAAATGCCATGGATTATGTATTTGGATACACAATAGCTCAGGACATTTCTGCTAGAGATTGGCAAAAGTCACGTAATGGAGGGCAATTCCTAATAGGAAAAACAATGGATACATTTCTTCCTTTAGGACCAGCAATTGTTCATAAAAGCCTTATCAAAGACGTATATGATCTAAATGTCCGCACAGTTGTCAATGGTGTCGAAAAGCAAAACCACTTCACCGGAGATATGATTTTCAAAATTGATGACGTCATACATAGATTAACGCAGAGTATCACTCTGAAGCCAGGTGATCTTATTCTAACTGGGACACCAAAGGGTGTTGGCATGTACCGAAACCCACCAGAGTATTTGAAACCTGGTGATGTTATTGAAACTGAAATTCAATGTTTGGGTAAAATGGTTAACAAAGTAGTCGCAGACTCTTGAAGTGATAATTTGCAAAGGGTATTTTGAAAATAAGTGTAAAATGGTTCTGCATTTAAAAATTTACTTTTGTGATATGTTAAATTCTTGTTATATTTTGGAAATTATTGAAACTGTAACTAAAAATAAAGGAAATCATTTATAAATTGTAACGAATGTATTATATTTTAATACAAACTTATGCTGTATGTAGTTTTGATTTTAAAGAAAAATATGTTTTGGTGCCCGCCGTTCCAAATTTCATTTACTTAAATTCTGATTTTTGTTTCAAATGTTTATTTTGTATTTTATAATATAAACATAGCTAATGATAATGTAGATGTCTGCACAAAAGTATTTTAAACTTTAAAAGTTTTACTTTTTGTTGCAAAGAATTCATCTCTTTTATGGTATGGGGTGTATGGGTCATCTATGTAATATTTCGGACGACGCCAAAAACTAGTAACCATTTTGTCCAGCATGTAACTCTGTGTTGAATTTGTGAAAATGTGTTGACGTAATCTTCTGCGCAGCTCGGGAGATTTCTTAAACAATTTTTTATTGCGGCCTGTATGAGTGCGTACCCAGATTCCCCAATCGAGACGTTTAAAACGTTTAAGAACAGCCTTTACAGATTTTCGTTTCCCTTTATTGAGCGAGAATTTCGTTAACGAACGTGTTTGCTGTTGAGGTGCACTGAATCCTGGCACAACGGCTTTTAACAAATTTGTTGAAACTGAGCATGGTAGTTTAGAAAGAAGTGTGGAATTTGTATTAGCCCATTGGTTACAGATTTGGTAAGAAAATCCACGCTTGATGGGGCCGATTGCGATGTTTTGATTAGCTAGCTGATTGACCGTACGGACGGCTGAAAAATTAAATGATTACTGTGACATATTGATTTATTTCCAAATATTTACAAATTTACCTCCAGAAAATAATGTCCGAAGCATATTTTGTGTTATTTTTGTGGTCTAATATTATATGTATAATTCAGATTGATTCCATAACCGTGTAGAAAATAACCAAAAAAAAAATAACACATATGATATTGACATTTACCCATGACGTTAATGCACTACATTGCCGACACATGTAGATGTCAGTTTTTATTATTGTATTTCTAATTACCTCTCCCTAATTGCCATCGTAACATTTCTACTCTCTGTGCAAAATAGTGGCTCAGTTTGGAGCAAAGCAGAAAAAAGTTTTCGCTTTTGTCTAGATCGCGGGAGGACGTTAAGCACCGGCTCGCAAAAGAATTGGAATTGCACCCACGATATTAATTATTCCAAAATTTATAGCAATATGTATCGGCTAGCACTGAAACGACCATGCCGAGACGCCATACAGGTTAGTGTAACTCTTTTAAAGAATTGTGTTGTAAAAGATATAAAAATGCTTATGTGCCGTCATCACATCTATGCGTGAGGTACTACAACCACTATCACTTAACAAAACGGAAAGCAAAGGGGCAGCGAGCGCTCTCCTCACCTTAACACCCGTGTAGACAAATTGATTGTTATGTCATCTATTAATGCAATATTTATACGTTTTGACCAAATATAATCCAAATTCCAAAAGAAAATAGATATGAATCTTAAATTGCAATACATATTCGTTTTTGTAGCATATGGTGCGTAAACTTTCTACAAAAAGCCACACCACAGTAATGACAACTGTTGTTATTATTAATCTAATACTAGATACCCATCGTCTATCGTTTGCGTATTGAGATCACTTCTTTATTTAATTTTAATTGCTTTTCAGATCACATTGAGCCAATATAGCCGAAAAAACTTTAGCAATGGCCTGCCACCTAATGTACGAGAAGCAGGTTTTGGCAAAGTGTTGGTATTTCTATCGCCACTTGTCGCTGTCGGTGGAGTAATTGGATACGCGAAGTCAGTTAATATCACATTTAAGTTTCATTTATTTATATAAATAATATACATTTTCAGATACGACCCGAAATTTCGAAAACAAGTCGAACAAAATGTTCCTGGTGCCGACTACGTTTTAAAAGTTGCTTTAGAGTCAAAAGATCCTCTTGAAGATATAAATAAGCAGTTTGATGGTGTCAAGAAACAATTCAACAATGTTACGAAAACGATTGATAGCGCCACATCAACTGTCACTGGTTGGTTTGGAGGCTCCGAAAAACCCGCTGCTAAGCGTAAGTTTGTTGAATTCTAAATTGGATAATTATTGTTAAATAATAAATTATAAAACTGCACAGAATCAGAAGTTGCCACAACGAAAACCTCCTCGCCAGCAAAACCAGTGAGTTGTTATACACATATATATTCATAAAGTTTAATTTCAACATAATAGTTTATCAATTTAGATTACAGCAAGTGCTTCTAAAGAAGCGTCGCCTGCCGCAAAGCCTGCTACTGCCAAACCTAGCGAACCTGTCAAAATAAATAAACAACCTGAGCCTTTGCCGAAGGATGTGACCGACTTGGAAAATGCAGTAGAGGTTGCAGCTGCGCTAGCTGTAAAAGAATACAACAAAGCGATTACTATTCTCAAGAGGTATTTGTCAATGATTTTCCTCAATTTGCCAACTAATATAAGCTTCAACTCCCATTTCAGCTTTAACAATGATGTACGCAAAGTCGTTGATGATGCCATAGATAATGTTGACATCTCGAGATGGACTTCCTTAAGGAACAAGACAAGTGCTCGCGACACTTCCGTTGCTACTGCAGAAAACTCTGCACGTGAAGCTATTGACAAAATTGGTAATCAAAGACAGCAGTTGAAATTGTTAAATATTTCGATATATTATCCAAACTCACAATTTTATGTATTTAGAAAAGTGTGAGATTGCACTAAGCCAAGCTGCAACCGCTGATAATCATGAGCAAATCACTACCATACGCAAAAAAATTAAAACATTGGTGGAACACATTAACCACGTCAAAGATGAATTATATCAGCATAAGGATCTTGCCACCGTGTCCGAAAAATATTGGAGAAACGTGAGTATAATATAAAAGGCAATAGCTATCACCGTTGAGTAAACGACAATAATATTGGTTTAGGTGGAAAAAGCACGCAACTACTTCGTTGAGGAAATTGAGTCCATATTCCCCGGTTTAAATTTGGCGGATCAAAAACTAAATATGTCAAAGGAAGATTTGGATTTGTTTATCATGCATGCTTACTCCCATGTACTGGCTTACCAAAAAGAACTGCAACGTTTGCAAACCGATGGTGAACTTAAGCTAAAACGTGTCATAGATACTTTCCGCGGTGATAACGAATCGGATGCAGTTAAAGCCCAATTGGATTATCACTTGGAAGCTGAGAAGCGAAAACTGGCACTCGAACAACATAAGAAAATTTTCCAAATCCGAGCTGATGCCGAAAAACAATTGCGCCAACAATTGAAAAAACAAGCTGAAGCACATAGTGATCATTTGAACGATGCGATAGCCATGAAGGAAAGCGAAATGAAGCGTAACTTCACACGTGAATTGGAAGACAAATTGGCCACGGAAAAGGCTAATTATAAATTACAACTTGCGGCTATGGTTGGCAAAATGCGCGGCATGGATGCTGCTCTACAAGGTAAGCACACTTCATTCATTGTTTATAATGTGCAAATTTATAACGAATCTCTTTATAAACTTTATAAACGCTACTAATAAGAAATTGATGATGAGTTGAAAGGTACAGAGATCACCCAATTAATCCTTTTCATTTTCATTTTATTATATTATTGATATGGAATTTCGCGAAATGTGAATAAATAATAAATTCTTTATATTTACAGCGCGAGCTGAGTCGGAGCGTTCTGCTCATCAAGCGCAAGCACTTTGGGCTGCCTGTCAGGCCTTGTGGGCTACAGTAAGCACTGGTGAACCTGGCGTACACTGGCGCAACAAATTGCGTCCGCTGAAGAGTGAAATCAAGGCGATTTCTAAAGTGGCTGGTAATGATATAAAGCGATTTAACGATTTTCCGATTCTAAATATCTATTTAATTTTGTTTTTTAGAGGGCGACGAGCTGGTTTCTGTTGTCATACAAAACCTACCAACTGCCGCCAGTGAGCGTGGCGTGTTCACAGAAGATGCTTTGCGTGAACGTTTCATTAATGTAGAGCGCGTTGCACGCAAACTAGCGCTGGTACCGGAAGGCGGAGCTAGCCTCCCCATCTATTTCCTGTCATACTTGCAATCATTGTTCATTTTGAAGCCTGATAATCCCATTTCTCAGGATGAATTGCAAAACAAACCATTTGATTACAGTAAATTGGATACCTATGATATTTTGAACAGGGCTAGGTAAGTATAATTGATGTTACACCTTACATATGTACTTGAACAGCATTTGTTTCTTGCTTCAGGTATTTCGTTGACCGTGGAGATCTGCTGCAGGCCTTGAAGTACATGAATCTGTTGCAAGGCGGCGCACGTCGCGTTGCATGTGATTGGTTAAATGAAACGCGTCTAACGCTGGAAACCAAACAAGCTGCCAATACGTTAATGGCCCATGCTGCTGCAAGTGGCCTGTTATATTTGTAAATTAAAATATTGAATTGACTTAAACCACAAAAGATGAAGAAAAATCGATTGCATGCGGAAGTCATTGGTATCAATCAGTTACTGTATTTGCATTATACTTATCCGGCAAATTAAATCAACGCTTTATATAATTGTTTAAAATTCATTTTACATAGTCTTTTTTAGTTTTTGAAATTATGTCTAATTTATAATTGTTTATTTAGTTGCGCATTCCGAATGTAAAGAAATGATCAAGTTGTTGTAATGTTTATAAAGAAATAAAGGAAGAAACACGTACGCAATAATAAGAAGGTTGAAAATGCTGGTGATTTTTGTTTATTTATTTTGTGAATGATTTTTATTCTTTAAATGTTCTACTCAAGTTCCATTAATAGTCTTAAAAATCAAACAAAAAACAGCTGTTAGCTACCGGTGCCACAAAACCATTTACAGAAGCATTTCTTACAGCATAAAAAGCCATAAGAAAGCCTCGTGACTGTGATCGGTCAGTTATATGCTGTAAAGATTCTATTTAAACAATTTCTTAAGAGGTTACACCACTGAATTGGAGAATAATCCGTGCCAAAATTTGTATTTGAACGTTCAGTTTGTAAGGCAACTTTAAGCTGTAGTGATCCGCAGACGGTTCCTACAAATGAGCAGCTTCTTCGGAAGTGTGCTAAGCTTCATAGGTATATCTTTAAAAATAGTTCACGTATATTTAGACAGCCGGACGGACGGGCAGGTAGGCGGACATGGTTAAAGCGATTCAGCTCATAATGCTGATCATTTGTACATATCTTTTCTATAAGTCCGCCGTTTCCTTTGGGTGTTACAAGCTTCGTGGCAATTTAATACCCTTAACAGATTATAATAATCACAATTACTGAACAAAAATACTTAAACAAAAAATTAAATAAAACTTAATTAAGGTTTTTGTTTTGGTAAATATTTTATTTGAATATCCTATCAGTTAAATATATACATAATTAGTAAGTGTAGTCCAGTAGTTTTGAAATAAATTAAACTATCGCCTGCATTCAAAAACGAGCTATGAGAACATGTCAATTCAGTTTATTGGTCAACTTTGCCGCTGTCAGTTTCTGTACGATTGCCTGCAAGGGAGTCCAATGCTGCAAACTTCCAACGCATATAAGCGACTCTCATACGATCCCAAACATTTCCGACCGAGTCCATTGCAGGACGAACGTCAAGTATTGCAAATTTATAATCCTTGTCCACCACGCCGCCATCGTAGTAATCAATAACGTAACGAATATCTTTACCACAACGATCAACAATCCAATCATGACGATCGAACGGCAATTCATAGCTTTTAAATATAAATATAATTATTTTGAGCCGATAATGTCGTAAAAAAGAGAAAAACATACCCTAGCCAGCTGCGTATGCGTGCACGTGGACTATAATCGGCAGCTTTACCACCAAAACTCTTTAGTCGTGGATTTCCACACTCTCTAGCATGTAATGCTTCCCACTTAAGTACTTCTTTCCAGGCTTGTTCATTATTGGCATTATGAATGAAAATAATATCGCCCATATCTTTCTGTGAAATATCGTCATTCTTCCAACGCCAACCTTTCCTTAGCATTGCATTCCAAAACATTTGCTGGCTTGGATATTGCCAGAATTGCTGACTACCGTCTTCTGTCACTTTTGGTATGCTCGATGTTTGACGGTCTGTGGACAGAGAAAAGGGTTGATCCGGTGCTGGTTGTTGATTGGCAGGTGGCATCATATTGAGTGGGTTAATATCACTTTGACCATGTTGAACCGGACACTCGGATGATGGTGCAGTGGCAGTAGTTGTAATTTTTTCTTTTTGTGGTGTATTCGTTGGAACAGCAACGCCTTTCTGGTGCATTGGACACTCTGGGGGTGGTGCAGCGCCCGTGGCAGCCATGTGAATGTGATCTTTAGGCATTTGTGGTGCTGCCTCCATACGGACGCTTGTGATTGTATTACCCATTATCAATCTATAATTATATTAATGTTTGTTATTAAACTGGGTCATATGATTTTACATCCCCCTATAGTGGGTCAATGTTGTTGCATAATTTAAACAATTCCAAAGTATATTTCACATATTGTCAGCACTTACATTTAAAGCAATTTTAAATTTAATATTTTTATTAATGTAATTTAAGAAACCAGTCGAGATTACACTTCTATCAATTTATGTAATTTTGTTACAAAAATTATTCCCCCACGAGGGGTAAGCGCAAATCTACGAGTGCTAATGGTGTTATTTAAAGCTTTAAGGTTATAATATACACAATTGACAGTTGAATTTGACACATATTCTGAGGGATGCAAATAGCGTTGCCACACTAAACAAAAATGGATGTCTATTAAAGTGGTGATATTTTTTTCTTTGTTTTTATTAGAGAACGTATATGATAGGCAGAGAACGTATAATATAGACAGAGAACGTCTATCAATTTCTCTGTACGTTCTCTGGTACTCACCATCTAATGTAAATGTGTATGTATTTATTTGTGTGCCAATGTTATGCCAGCATATTTATGAACATATGAGCAGCGCGCACATGTTATTATTGATAAGTAATAATATGATTTGAATTCGCGAAAGCGAACATAAACACATACATATGTACATATGGTCATGAAACATGTGATATATAGATAAGTTTTGAATGATAAAATGTACGATTAATGTACATTTATCACTATTGTAATATATTTAATTTTTTTAATAATATTATGATAGTTTGTTATATACATACATACATATGTATGTACATACGAATTTTGCTTTGAAAAGTAATTTAATTCGAATGTATTCAATTGCACATGTATTCATAAATATCCACAAAAAGAATTCATATGAATACACATGTCTGCATGTAAACTGTATAGAAACATAAGTAAAAGAGCGAACATGCGTCTGTTAGAGCAATATATAGTTTTGAGCATAATTTTTATTTCACGCTCAGCTCTGTTCATACGAAAATGTTAAAATTTCTCCTGCCGAGCTGGCAGTGGTGAAACTGGCTCATCTCGACCGAGTTAGCCAAAAATATTTTTACGATCTCGGCGCCGTGAACCTTCTCTATGATAGACGTTCTCTGGTACTCATGTACGTTCTCTGCGTCTTTTATACGTTCTCTGTTGAGCATGTGTATATTTCCCAGTTTATGTTTTTGTAAGGAAATTACCAAAAAGTCACAACTCGTATAAAGGTCTGTTGCAAATTGCTGCTGTCAGAGAACGTCTATTTATATATATGTATATCCAATTAGTGCTCCGGGGTGCTCCGGGGTGCTCCGGGGTGTCCTAGTTCAGCTCGAACTAAGATTCTAAGAGACGTTCCTACTATTCCTGTTCAGGCTCAATGAAATATAATGTCCAATATCTTTATGATTTGTTGAGAATAGCCATATATATATAAATATACGTTCTCTGCTGTTGTACAATCAAATGCGTTTAAGATTTGGTATATATGTATACTGAAAATTAAATTTGAAAGAAATCATTTTCTTTGGGTGTAGATTTAAATTTTGTTTCATTGGGTTTCCTGTGTAATATTTCTGCATATTTTTTTAAATTTGATCACTAAAAATGTAAAATCAAACGTTTCCTTCGCAAACGTACTTCTGAATAACTTTGAACTTTAAACACTTTTGGCGTAACATTTCGACAATGTAGATCATGATGTGGTCCAGGGGACGTTTACTGTTGATGTTTATGATAGGTTGATAACGTCGTAAAAAAATTAAGAGTAAAAATTAAATACTTATTCTTCAATTTCTTAGCTTCCTAAGTAGATTCTTCAAAAAGAAAAGTAATTAATTGCAGTAATGATTAGTCAATACTCGGATTCAGACGAAGACGATGACACGAAAAAATGTCAATCATACATAACTTACCGCACCCGTGGCCAAGTAACTCGGTTAAATGATATTTAATTCCCATTTAATGGAGATTTTTTACTATTATTCGAACATTTCCACGGGTAACTGGTGAATGTTTTGCTCCTAGGCTTGAAACGAAGGTGGATTATCCGAATATACTCTAGATTTTACATATGCCCACAGGAAAAAGTCTAACGGTCTGATATCACACGATCTTGGTGGGCTATCGACCGACACAAAACGTGAAAATATCTGCTCGCCGAAGTGTTCTCTTAATAAATGAATTCATTGATGCGAGGTGTGAGAAGTGGCGCCTACTTCTTTAAACAAAATGACCCGAGCTTCATTTTCGGGTATCAAATGATTTTGTAATATTTTGATTACTATAATTTAACAATTGTTAGTTTTAGTAACTTATGTTTACTATTTATTAAAACCCATTTTACGCAAAAATATAAATTTTTTCAGTCTGTTCCGCATTAGATGGCAGAGCTGTAAGACAATCGGGGATTAGTTGGCCTGGCCAAGTGTAACTAAAGAGAATAAGGGCGAAAATCAACGAATCATTAATCAATCCTTTCATGATGCGACGCGGTGCGTGTCCTTTTATGTTCAAGAATGACAAAAAAGCAAACATACACTCTCCTTACACTTTCAATTCGCTGCCAGAATAAAAAAGAAAAGTTGAAGGCATTACAAAGAAGGAATATCTACATGCGGAGTTTGAAGAACGGCGTTGAAAAAGCAGATGAGGGAAGAAAATTACCTAAAAGATTTCACAACGCGTCAGGGATAAAGCTACGATTCCAGAAGAAAAAATAGATAGCGAAGGGAGAAAATCGGCAGAAGAAACAATATAGAATTGTAAAAAATGGCGATATTATTTGATGAGGGACTTTTGCCTATTTACATACATACATACATACATGCAAGTGAACATTTCACATAAGCGTTGATAAGATGAGTGACTGAAACTGATGGGTGTCGGTTGTTGAGTGGCTGCAGTGACAGTACGGCGTTGACATGGGGCTGGCATCCAGCGTTAAGAAAAATTGTGTGCCATAAAATGGCATTAATATGAAGAAAGCACTGCGACCGCAGTGTAAATTTTTCTAAAAGTTTGCAAATGTAGTGCCCTGCCATGCAAAAATGAAGAAGCAGCCAACGAATAACGCTAAATTATTAAGTAATGCTCTTACCAAGTACTTACGTACATGATGTGTGTATGTAAATATGTATTTGATATTTATATAAACGTATGTACATATGTATGTTTGTATGTGTGTGAGCTGCGTTGCTGGTAATGCAAATTTAAGTGCCTCTTGTTCCCAAAAGTCTTAATTCCAGCCTGCTCTCACATACCCGTGACATGTCACGGCTATACAAAAGTGACATTTAAGGAAAATAAGAAATTAAAATCTAAAATGTATGTATGCCAGAAGGAGATAAAGGAACCTACAATGGCAGCGACAGGCAGACCTACACCAACGCTCATTTAGTGAATTGTAATGTGTTGGTAATCGGGAAGAATGCCGCACAAAATACGGGTATGTGGGGCAACAAACATCATTAATTATTCGAAAGAATTCTCAAAGTCATGTCGAGACAGACACGCGGACGGACGAAATATATTCATGATGCAAAAAAGTGGACATAAAATGCCCTAAATTCAAAAGTAAAAGTTTGTGAAAAATCGGCATCCTCAAAAAACAATGCGGTTTGCATTTGCTACTCGAAAATTTTTGCCGAAAATGCAATTTAATTATTTTGTCGATTGATTTTTACAAATTATGTATTTTATGTAATTATGAATTTTTTATATTTTTTGTGTTGTCTTTTTATTTTAAAACATTTTTTTTTTTTTATAGGTACTTACAAAAGTATAAAAAATTAAGTCCTTTCTCCCCATACTTTTTATGATTAGTTATTTAGGCCGCTCGAACCGGCCATAAACAACAAATAAAAGTTTAAATAAATTTGTTAAGAAAAATAATCGAAATCGGTAAATGTTAGTTATTGTATTTCAATCGCACTCCCGATATCTTAACAATCGTAGAAATGTTTCGAACAACAATGTTTAAACTGGAGACAGCTGTGATATTGCTGGTGTAGTATACCATCTGATCAAATTTGACCAGGATTGATCCTTTTAATGGTTTACATGGGTTTCCTGGGGTAAATAACAGCCCTTTTTCCAACATTTTTATCTCATATAAAAAAATTAATATTTTATTAAAATTTTTTATTGTTACAAACATACAAATTATTAACAAAGAAATTCTGAAATTTTAGGAAAAAATATTTTAAACTTGGCCATTGCGATGCCATTTCCGGTGATCCCCCGAAAAAAGGATGCGTCCGCGTTGGCAAAATAACTCCATTCAGAATCTTCTAAAGTGAAAAATATGTGTTTAAGTTAAAACTTTAACTTAAAACTTGGACGAAGGGAAAAACTGTATATTGGATTTTCGGCAGACATTTTTACAAAAAAATTAAAACTTCAGCGAATACTTCAAGATAGAAAAACGCGTTTAAAGACTGCGTACTTAGCCTAGCTAGCCTCGAGCTCACATGTTCTCAATGCTGTATCTCCGAAATTGTTACTCGGTTCAAGTTGAAAATTTAGGATAATATTCCACAGGTTTTTTGAAACCCGTAAACCCATGTAACCACTTAAAGGAAGGCAGCTGCGATATTGCTAGTTTTTCTTTCCCTTTGATCAAATTTGACCCGGACTGGTCCTTTTGCATTATGCGCCCAAACCGAATCAATAATATAAATAAAATATATATATAGTCGGTCGGATGCTCAAGGTAGGACCGGATTTGTGGACAGAAGATTGCAGGAAATTCATAGGTTTTTCAACATTACTAACATTTTTTGGCTAAACATGAAATGAGAGTGGATGGAGCCATGTGTAGTAGTTCCCGCAATTGAGGAAAGTTCTGTGAGCTTCATTCACGTGGGAATGGCTATAAACGGTTAAAAGCGAGTAGGCGAAACATCCCCTCCTCAGGGTTGTGCGCTGGGTTTGGGACCCGTAACGTAAAAAACATAACCAAAGGAAAGAAAAAAAAAAGGAAGAATAAAACCTGCTGCTGTAAACTCGGGTATAAGCGGTCTTTACGCCAATAAAGAAGAAGATGATGAAACGAGAGTCAACTCTCAGCCATGGTTTTCGCAAGGCTTGGCTCCATGTTTACTCTTCGTGTTTCCGAAACTAGAAAATAAGGCTCGAGAAATGTGCCATGAGTGTTTTAAAAGCCATACACTGAAGGCCATCTCAGCCAAGGCTTATAAAAATTTTAAAAATATCCTATTTTGAAGCCTGTTCTAGAGATTTGTGTTAAATGCGTGAAAATGTGGTTTGTTTCGTAGTAAAACAG